CCTAGTCCCCCCCTGCTGAAAGCAGGGTCAGCCAGAGCAGGTTGCTTGGGACCTTGACTGGTCAGGTTTCGAATACCTCCACAGATGGAGATGCTACAATCTCTTTGGGCTACCTGTTCCAGGATTCAATCACACTTAAAGTAAAAAAGTTTTTTGCTATGTTTAAACAGAATTTCTTGTATTTCAGTTTGTCACTGTTTCCTCTTGCCCTGACACTAAGCACCACTGGAGAAAACCTGGGTCTGTCTTCTTTATACCCTCCCACCAGGCCTTTAGTTACATTGATAAGATCCACCTGAGCCCCCTCTCCTCCAGGCTGGGCAGTTCCACCTCCCTCAGCTTCTCCTCATAGGACAGATGTTGCTCTCCATCCATCATCTCAGTGACCCTTCACTGGTCCTGCCTCCGTCTATCCACGTCTCTTGTACTGGGCAGGGGGTGGTGTGCGTGTGCATGTGTGCAAAGCTACACACACCACACATGACCTCACCGGTGCTGAGCAGAGGGGAAGGATCACCTCTCTTGACCTGCTGGTAGTGCCCTTCGTACTGCAGACCCAGATGCTCCACCAGCGCCTTCAGGTCCTTTTCTGCAAAGCTGCTTTCCAGCCAGTTGGCCTCCAGCAGGTTACTGGGGTTAGTTCTCTGCAGGTGCAGGATGTACTCAAGTATGGGAATGGTAAAGATTGGCATTGGAAATAGCATGCTAGAGGAAGCTTACCAGAATTGTATTCTGGAAAATTAGGAAAATACAAAGACTCTAAGCTTCTTCACAGTGCTCAAACCATGAATGTTGAGGAAATGTTCTGTAGCAATTTTAAACATAATCTTATTCAACTTTGAGACACAGATCTAGAATAAGAATTCTTTACAAACCAATACTAACACCTTCTCCAGGTAAAACTAGAGCCTTTAAAAGTAATGGCCAAGGAAGGCTAGTTGCTTCTGACTTAGCTCTTAAGCAGTTAAACACATTTTCATCATTAGGTATATGCTTATATCCAATAGACTTACATGGATTGTATTGACACAGATACTACATTTATTTGTTAGATAGGAAGTGAAGCCCTCTTGAGGAATATAGCAAATTTTATTTGTTATTGCTCACTTTGGGATTTCCCCGGGTTTCAACAACCTGAGGATGCTTTCAGTATTTGTTTTGTTTTGACACAATAAATACAGCGAGAACTGTATTTATTATTTATTAGACATGCTGCTATCATATAATTAGTATGAGTTTATAGTTGTTAGTACTAATGAATACAAAGCTAAAGAAAACTAAGCAAACAGATTTTAGAACAAACAAATAGAACCACTTACATGGTGAACCTTCTCACCAGATCTGCTGGGAGGAAAGGATGGGGACAGCACTGTGTGTGCTGGGATACCAGTGGGATGGACGAGGCTTCCTAAGACCTACCTGATGGATCAGTACCTGCTAATGGTGCAGATTTCTGCAAGTTTTGGAAGTTCTCCTTGTCTCCTCTAGATTGCAAAGATCACTGTAGAGAATATGTCTATTTAAAATGTAGTTAAGTCAACTAGAACCTTGGTTAAAATATTAATCTTTTTGCTCAGCATTCCTAAATCATACCTGCAATCTCTATGACAGTGTGTGATACCACAGAAGTAGCGATATGGCAGAAAAACTGTTATTTTCTCATGCAGCATCTACGAAACATATTCAACTCATTATACATCCCTGACCCAATGGCTGTGTTTTGCATTGGAAAACCTCCTCTCTCATTGTTGTAAACTGATTATCCAGTAGTACAACTGTGTTTTCCGTACCAAATGTCAGTCTTTCTTCAGTGAATTCCACACCCATTTGGGCTCCAGTAGGAGTCTTCTGCTTGTCACAGCCCAAAGGCAGTAAATGCAGAACCACCCTGGCCTGGATTGGATGTCTTTTCCTTTTGTGTTTACTTACAAAGCTCCAAGGAACACACAAGTTTCTGGTCTTTATAGATAAATGTATTCAAAAACCCCATAAACTGTGGTCAGAAAACCCAGAGAACCTAGAATATCTGTGCCCAGACACCCAATCATGCTAGTGACAAGGCAGGCAGCGTGGCACGGCTGTCAGCCTCTCTGCGTGGCACATTCACCATTAGCACACCGCCTCCAGGGGTACTGAATTCCATATTCTCTCCTGGAGCAGCCAGTGACCCTTTCTAAATGGGATTGATTGGTGTTATTAGGAGATAATATCTGCATGGGGCAACGTATTTACCTGAGGTGAGAGCCTTCTTTGGGCAGCAGCATAATGCTTCAATGTAATTCAGAGGAAGCCGTATCAGGTGGCAGCTGAAGACATGTATTACAGTACAATCAAAAAAGGATGATTAACAAACTAAATTAAATCAAAACCCGTGCCCTTTCTCTTTTACTTACTTTACTTGTACTAAAAGATAGAAAGACTTACAGGAATTAGAACTATTGCAGTGCCATGTCTGTCCAGCCATATTTTGCAAGAGACTTTTTTTTTTTTTTTCCCCCAGAGATGCCTGCTCATTAACCTTTGCCGGAAGGGAAGCAAAACAAAGTGCAAGAAAAGCACAGCAAAACTCCTGCCAGGCAATTGGAAGAAAAAACCCAATCCATTTACTGACAGGATTCTGAATTTCCCTCAATTCAGGGGACTGGATCTTGGCTTTACAACTGTTTTGCACTGTAAAATGTATTATCCTTCTCACATTCACAGCACCAGCAGAATCAGAGTCTGGATGTCTCAAACCTTACAAGTGACAACAAAGCATACCTTTCCTTTACTTCTAGACAGGTTTGAAAACTCTCCAGGAAGATCTTCTTGTGATTGTTAGTTACAGAGTCTAGAACTCAGTCACTGTAAAGGTATCAGGGAATATTTCAGTAATATTTAATGTGACCCCTTTTGTGTGTGTATATATCTACATGTATATGTAAATTACAAATATGTGTATGCATGTGTGTATCTGATCTGTTTACATACAAAAATGGAGCTGCCATGCAAACTGACTGACTCCTAATACATCAGCTGAATTTATTTTAACACACTCTGGCAGATGTCCCAATTGCTGCATTATAGAAAACTAGTACTATGCATGTTCTGATCTATTGGGCTGGTGATGGATTCATAGGCAGAAATGCCCATGTGTACAGTGAGAAACATGGCAAGAAATGTTTGTTCAATTTTCAGAGTGACTTTGGAGCTCAGAGACCCGGCAAACATAACACCAATTGATGCCTGGCTTGAACTGAGTTCATCTGAAGCAAAGATGTGCAACATCTGATTTTTACCACCAAGAGAACTGCCACAAAAATCACATTTTATCATTAGAAAATATAAAACATTCTACAGTTCTGCCTCAGGCTCTTGGAAAACCACATACTCAAAAACCAGCATTTTGGGTGGGTGAGGAACATTCTGCAGAACAGCTTCCACTAATCTTGGATGGGCCCTGATAGTGCTTGAAAAAAGCACATGGATACTGAAAATCTTTACTTTACTTTAAAAGATTACTTATATATTTAAGGTCTAATTTTAGCAACTTGCAGAACCGGTAGGGGAATTCTAATATAGTAAACCAATTGGCATGATCAAGAGCACAATTAAGCCTGTAGTAACCCATACCACTTAGATGTACTTAAAGCAAAAATGGGCTATGCATAAAAGTAGAAAACAAACAAACAAATTGCTTAAGCAGCCTGCGGGTTCCATTAAACAAAGCTGCCATTGCCAAAATGAATTGACTCTGCCACGTCACAGGAACTGTGCATTTCAAAATAAAATCAAAATCCACCTAGCATCACAGTGCCAAGGCAGCCAGCTCTGTCTGGGCCCTGGGGAATCACAATGCAAAGCAGGAGGCTTCTGCACAGAAATACCTTTCACTGATACTAGACAGTTCATTCTGTGAAGTGTCCCCAGGTGATTTCTAACTGCTATGGTGATGAGCAGGCTGAAAGGCAATACCTCAGACACAAAAAACGGAAGAAAAGAGAGCAACTAAACAAAGGCTGCTCAAGTCGCTGACACAAATATCCCAAAAATGTAGCTATAACAGTAGCAAATTGTTTGGAACGGGCAAAAAATAAAATGCAAGTTTGAGAGCTGAAGTCAATGCTTAGATGCAAAACAGATCATGAGAAGATGTTTCAATTGGGTAGATTCACCTCTGTCTGCCTACTGCATAGTTAAGACAGTTCTCCAGAGCATTTGGAAATGTAGTGACTGCTGTCAGGGAAACAGTCTGTCCTCACATTTTTATGCCTCCCACTCAAACTGATCTGTGATCTGAGGAGAAGGGATACATCCTCTGTAGTTACGAACATTGCAATAACACAGCTCACTAGGAGAACGTCTGCTTAGGACAATGTTAACTTGGTTTCTGCTTTGAGGAAGACAGAAATGTAGGTATTTTGGGGACGGGGTGTGGGATGGGAGGAGGTGGGAGAAGACTTGCTGCACACATGCACACTTTCAGTACAAAGCTTCCTGATGGTGAACCACATGGAGCAGAACTACAGAAATTTTAGGATCTAGTCTTTCTCTTCACTGGCAAATATTGCTCCTAAAAAAAATGGTACCTAAACAAATGCTAGAGAAGAGTCTAGATTTCTCACATCTTTTAGATAAATGGAAACTTGTCAAATGAGAAGCAAATGGTAGAAAAATGCAGCAGTGACAAAAGCTCTGATCCGACAGTCAGGGCGTGCTGCTGCACTCATGCAGAGCCTCTATGACTTTAATAAGTCTCCACAGAAGCAGAGCAGTCCTTTCATGCACTATCAGCTACAACACCAGGACCTAATTCAGCTTTCAGTGCCACATCCTCATCATGTTGGCAATAATTCAGAGTTGGTGAGACAACTTGTAAAGGGAAAAAAAAAAAGAAAAAAAAAGCAGTGTGTTAAACCTCTCTAATTTAATGTTCACTTTTTATGTGTCTAACATCAAAGCATTTTTTCACTTCAATTTAATCAAAATTAATCACTAAGATTACTACAGTAATTTATGTTGGAAATTATTGAAATGAGTGTTTTATTAAAACCTAGTTTTATTAATAAAACACATTCTGGCTAAGGAATCATGTGAGCCTGCTATTAGAGACTATTAACTGGGAACTGGGAGTTAATCATAACAGTCACGCTGCCAGGTCCTATGACAGCAACAGACACTGGGTTTGTTTCTGCTTTTACTAGCATATCCAAATCAATTAGTTATACGAGCAGTCAGAGTAACTCCTGTAAAACAGGGAAAGGAAACAAAGGTACATACATCTCAATAGTTTTGAACAAAGAAAGGGTAATCAGAAAGAGACTCACCAGCCTGATTAGTTGTGATGCTGACAGCAGCAAATTGTCTGGAAAGTGTACTCAAGTCAGATACCCCGTTGACAGCATCAATCTCAAAAGTGTAATTGGTATGTGCCAAAAGGTCCACTACTGTCACCGTGGTATTGGTGAGTCCAGTCTGACGGGGTAAGAATCGCACGTTGTCACTACATGGCTCACACATCTTCATGTTTCCTCCACATTTTTTGCAAATGATGTTGAAAGTGACATCTTTCCGACCTCCAGTGTCAAGAGGCCAGCTCCAGTCCAGGATAACAGACGTCTCATTGATGTTAGAGATAACGTTTCTTGGAGCAGATGGTGGTCCTATAAGAGGAAACAAGAAACCAGAGGGATGAAATCTTCTGTAGTGCTCTAAGATCGGAGTAACCAGGGCACAAAAACACAAAAGTCAAAAACATAAATAACCAAACTCTTCTAGTTATTTCCTGTAGAGGCTCCTGAAACAGTTCACTGGACTACAGGCCTAGACAATCAAGGACCATGTTTCCTTATAGACAGACAGTACCTTCAGTGTGAAGTTCAGGACTGAGGGCTGAAAATATTGGTAGAAATTTAAAAATCCTAGCTCTCCTTCTCGAGTCTGATAGAGAACAAGGAGAAGATGAAAATAGAAAGACATAAACCCAGCCCACCAATTTTTGGTAGTCTGTCCAACAGGCAAGAAGACATGGGGGGCAGTGGATGGTTGACTGCAATGGGACATGAGAGGAAGCAAGCAAGCTGCTGAGACACAGATGGAGGAGCAAGAATGACAGCCCCGAGCATAATGATGCTACTCACTGGTGCAAGCCATGGATGGAGGGTCTTTCTCAGAGCGAAAGTAATTCTTTTCACACCTGCAGTTCAGAGATGCAACTTCATAGGTAGAGCTGTGAGGTGGGCATTTGGCACACTTCACATTGCCAGCAGAGGCTTTGTAGAACCCAGGTTGACAAGCTGCAAAATAACAGAAGTATGGTTTTAAATACCATGGACATCTCCTCAATTATAACATGCAACTTTGTTGCTGCCCTGGGACTTATCCATATGCAGATCACATTTTGCAGACGTTTATGATCTAAAACCACAGATTTTTCTCATAATGAGAAAGCTGATGGAAATAAAACCTCTTGTTAGAATGGAGCTCTTGATGCATCAACATGTATCTGCATTTAATTTTTCCGGGAAAAGGAAACAGTGCATTGCACCACTAAGAAGAAACATTTTCTATGCTGCATTTTGAGAACTTCACTTATTTTTCTTCTCTTCTGATCAATTTACCAAAACATTGACCCTATACTGCATAAGTAGCTAACTTTACTCTCTCTCTGTTGCCAAGGTTTGCTTACAAGGGCACACTAATTGTAAACTACATCTCTTCCATGTCTCAGCAGGACTAAGAAAGCCAAAACCAAAACAATAACCTGAAGAGTGAAAGATCTAGTCCATTTCAGAAGGACCATGCATCTGGCTCAGCGATCTGCTTCTGATGCTACCAGGAACGTGCATGGTCTGTATGAGGAGGATGTTTTTTACATTAACCCGGTCCTCTAGAGATGGTGCTTGAACCCACAAAAGCTGCTTCTGAAAAACTCTGGGTGGTGGTGTTTCATTAACACCAGCACACTCCCCCTTTTTTGAGTCCTGTTGCATTTTAATCTGATTCAGGGCCACTTTTGCATCAGAAGAAAACAGCCTCCAAAGTAAGTTACAAAAATGAACAATTCAGCAAATAACTTTTTATGAAAAACCCATGCAGTGAAATAAAACTTTCGACTTCTTTCCACCAAGATGGTGTCACCATCTGGAAAAAAAAAAAAACAAAAAACCAAACCAAAACAAAAATGAGACCAAAACCAGATAACCAAAACCAGCTGCTGCTTCCCCTCAAGACACACATCCTTCTCCAAATGGAATTTACCAAGTAAAAGCATTCTGGCTGACACTGGTCACCCCCAAGTCTGTACTCATACATACAACAACCATACACAAACAGATGACAAAAGAGAGCACATCTCCAAATGCATTCACCTTTTGCTACACTTCAGCTCCACAGCAAACACTGCCTAATGCACAAGCATACTAGGAAAGTCCCAATATATTCTGATTGCCAATAAAACATTAAAATAAACGAGCTATACAAAAACCCCCCTTGACTTCTTTTTGTGCCTGGAGCCCAGACAGTCAAGTTTAGATAAAATGTCTCTGGAACTGTCACTGATTTAAATGCTAATTTGAAGCCAAAAGAATGGATTTACCAGTCTTAGCCAAAGCCTGATCAGGGACACATTTTTCAGTTTTATTTATGGAGATGAACTGATTCATAAACGTATTATGAAATCCAATACACAAGACTACGTGGACTTTTGTGTTCATTCATCTACTGCCCAAACAAAAAAGTGTTTGGATGGGCAGCCTGAGGTGCAAAGAACAGTCATCATAAAAATCCCAGCATCTTTGTAAGTGATGGAGGAGTGAGGGAAGCTGCAGCATTAAACTGGATGTTCAGCTTCCGTGTGATCATCCATACCCAAAATCTAACTGAATCTTTGGGTTAGGCAAATTTGTTGGTTAGTTCCTGATGCAAAACACCTGAGTGAAACGCACTGGCAAGTAGAGAAAGAACAAACCCCTGTACAGCCATATGTCCTACTCTGAAACATCTTAATAAAGGAAACCCTCCTCACACTGCGTTGAACAGGGTGTGAGAAGCATGAAACCTTTCACAAGGAAGCGCTAATCTCAGCCACTTTTCAGTGCTTCATAGCCCTTGCAAATCAAGGCGCCTGGCTGCAGCTGCTACCTCCAGCCTCCACACTAGCAAAGCAGCTGGGAGAGACACTTCCCACTCCAAGCTCTCTCCTGCAAGCCCTGAGGAAACAATCTTGACTCTGAGCCTTCGAGGTGGGGGCCCGGCAGGCAATCTGTGAAAGCAGAATTGCTAAAAATGACCTTGTGGCAAAGTCCATAGAGCCTCAGGCCAACCCGCCTGATCTGGCACAGCCTGTCCTCCTCCTCCTCCAGCTGGCATCTCTTGTGTTTCTGTCTCCTCCAAGGCTGCAAGGGGGTTTGGGGATTTCTGTTTAACTTAAGGAAATAAAGGAAATCTAAGCCCATCTTAAACACCTCCACTAGGAGAAAATGCAGCAGGAAACAGAGTTGGCTTTTTTGGCTTTGTTGTTATTGTTGCAGCCTTTTAAGACTCAAATCTCATTCCCTCCCAAATACTGCACCACGGTACGTGTGGTGTACCTAGAGCGAGCCTCTTTGGTCTCTCTCTGGCTGACAGAGGAGACTCGAATGATTTTACTGTCTCTGGGCACAGCATGGCCATTTCTGGCCCTAAGACAATGAGGCAAGCAGAAAAGAATGGATGCCAGTCCTGCTCTTACCAGCACTAGTAACTAGGCAAACACGTTAAGGAATAAACATCTCACTACATCTGTCCAGCTAATTACACAGCACTTTCACCAAAAGTTCCCATGGAAACTTACTGCCAGTATTAAACTCAAATGGTTTCACTTAACCATATCCGTTCAGCTTGAAGGGACATTTTTATATTCATAGGCGGGCATTTACAAGACAAAGACGTATTTACGAATGAATACGGAATAATTTTTAAATTTTTAATAATTTTATATACTAGTTTAATGTAAAGATTGGAGAAAGACTAGTAACATAAACGTGAACCTTTGTCATGTGGTTGGTCTTCCTACAAGACACAATTTCCACTGTTTATTAAGCCTAATCTATTCATAGTATCGTAACACATGAGCATTCACTTACAGGATGGAACTACAGCAATACTGTTTATTGGAACACTTTCAAAGCACTTACCACCAACATTTTAAAACGACAATGAATTTGACAGAAGTAAACAAGCTTCCATGAGAAGTGGACAGATTTTGTGGGGTGAGAAAGGGAAATGAAGGAATCAAGCTCCTCCATTAATAAATGACTCTTTCATATTTCAGGTGAAAACTTGTAGACCTCACTTAAGAAAAGGTGGTGGTGGTATGGGGCCAGAGGAAAAAGGAAGAAGAAAGAGAAGCATGCAGAAAGCACCCTGGTAACATGAGACCAGGCTTTTTCTTTTCCAGAGAGACAGGGATTTCATCGTTTTGTGCTTCTGTTATCACGGTACAGAGTGAGCAGCTGGGGAAGGGGAATGAGCCGGTCGGTTCCCTTCTGCCCTGGCATGCCCCAGCAAGGGCATCCCAATCTTGTGTCTTCCCCTCAGGCTGTCTCGTGCTTTCTGTCTTTGTCTGTCAGACCAATTTAAGATTACTCACAACTGCAGCCCAAAGGATAAAAAAAAAAAAAAAAAAAAGCAATTATACTTGAAATTGAAGCTTGGAAAGGGGAGTGCCAATAGAAAATGTTGTCAATGCACTTACTGTTATTATTCATTTCCTAGTCATTTTTTAATTCTGATATATAAGAGAAAAAAAAATGAAATCTTTACTTCAAAAGGCATTCATTTTTTTATGTCAGAAAAATTGGATTACATGAACTGATTGAAGAAGGTTTGGCTTTTTGAGGTGAATACCACAGCTTTGGTTTCAGTCAAGTAAAAAATAAAAGGACTAGCATAGGAAGTCTTCACAGAATCTGGAATTTCAACATGGGAACCAGCTGTGAACAGCAGTTGCTTTTTCTCAACATTTTCTTCTAGAAACTAAGAAATTTTCCTTTCCCTCACAATGGGGAACAATGCAAAAGGAAGTAGATGCAATGGGCTGGTGAGAAAAATCTCTCAGCACTCTAAAAATGAGTAAAGGCAACCTTGAGAGTTTCTACGTACATGATATAAAACTGTACAGCAAGGTGTGTTTTTGTTTTCAAGAAGGTCTCCTCAAGTCAGATGCCCAATATTTGTTGGCCCCAGTGACCCCTCTGATAACTCCAAACTGCAATTACTATTTAAAACTATGCAGTCTGATTCCAATCTCTTTTATCTGAGTGCGAGCCATACTGACTCTATTGAAGTCACCTCCTGGCAAGAATTTCAGGACTGCAGTTGTCCTTGTTACTGTATGAAAATGAATGTCCTTAAGCTGTAACTGATGAGCCTGTCTCAGAGAGAGAGAGTGGGGAAAGTTATTTCAGTGAAAGAAAAACAAATGCACGTAGCAACCTATGGTAGCTGCTGCTTAAAGAAATGTGACTGTCTTTGATATAGCAAAGTGAATTTTGCCTCTGTTTGACTAATCTGTTTGGGATGAAAACACAGTCCTAATTAAGGGTTAAATTATTCATTTTGATATGAATTAATTTTAAATTAAAACATAAAGCTGTTAGTAAATAGGAACATTTTAGTATTCAGACCCTGAAGCCCGCTATGCACAGAGCAGTATCACCAATTCCCAGCCGTAAATACCGACTGACGACCTGAGCCCGTGCTGCCTGAGCAGAAGACTTCCCACTCCCCTGCCCAAGGTCAAAGCAACTCTTTACTTGCACAATGGGCTGCACTCCCCAGTTGTGCAGGAGCTCCACTTTTTGTGCTCGTAACAGAGGTGCAATGGTTGAAGGCAAGGCTCAATATCGCAACACACTGGAAGTGGATGTAGGCAGCCATGAAACCGGGTGTGCCACTGGCAGCATCCACCAAGTGATCGAGTGTTTCCTTCCTTTGCTTCTCTGCTCTTCAATAAAACAGCCTGGGAGAGAAATGCTAGTGTGGCATTAAGCTACAGCATTTAGAAAAGAAGGAAACTCAGTCATAAACCTGTAGAGGTCACAGATACCTTAACTTTTCCTCACAGCGTGCATTAGCAAGATGGATGCCAGCAACCCTGGGACAAGCCTCCTGCCCTTGTACCCTGCAGAGAGGACAGGGAAGCACCACAGCCTCCATGCATATGGTCCATGTTAGAGGGGCTTTGCAAACCAGTCCTGCTGTCACCTGTGGAAATGGCATGCCAATGAGCAGCAGCGGAGGTCTTTGTTGCTGA